AGCTTTCTCAGCAGCCTCCGTTTTTTCTGGAGACTGCCTACGCCTACGTTGTACTACGGCCCTAGCGGCTGGATCAATGGCGAGGTGGTGACAGGCGACCTCATGGTCGAGTCCGGGCATCTCCGCAGTGCTCCAGGCGAACAGATCAGCATTCTCGTGCAGACAGGCCTTGATTTGCTTCCTGGCCAAGTCGGGGAGGTCTTTACCAATCTTCACTCCCTTGGTCGGGTCTGTGCCGAGGGGGACGAGCTTAAAATCCCCGTCCGGTATTGGTCGGAGTGGGATTTGCTCGCTGCTGGATGGCTCGTCCTGGTCGAAGCGGGTGTCCAGAGCTATGGAATCGACCTTTGGTGGAGCTTTCTGGACTTCTTCCTCGGGGGATGCTTTCCTGTCGGGCTCCTGTTTTGTCCTTTTGGCGGGTCTGGTCCCTATGTCGACGGTGTCACGTCCATTTGAAGCAGCGTTGAAGCACCTGCGGGCAGCGGTCAGGTCTCCTTGGATGGTGGTTACCCGTGCCCTCCTGGTGTAGAACTTCATCTTCAGGTGGACGGTCGAGGGCACCGCTGTTAGTTCTGCCAGTGTCGGTCTCCCCAAGATGCAGTTGTACAGAGACGGGCAGTCAATGACGAGGAAACAGACTTTGACTTGTCTTGTAGTCGTTCCTTCGCCGAACGTGACCAGGAGCTCGACATATCCCCAAGGTTTGGAAGTCGAGCCGTTGAAGCCTTGTAGATCCGACCCCACATACGGAGAGAGATGTGAGTCGTCCAGCTGTAGGGTTCGGAACAGTTGGCTGTACATCACGTCGACGGAACTCCCTTCGTCGCCCAGGATGCGATGCACGTCAAAATTGGCCATTCTTGCCCTTATCAGTAAGGGGATGACCGCGTTCGGGGCTCCGTCGGGGAGCTCTTCTAGGTAGAAGGTGATGGGCTCTGACCTGCCCTTCACCTTTTCGAATGTTACTATTTGCGGGGGAGCCGCGTCGACCAGCTCGTCCAACTTCCTCTTAGCTGAATTGATGGTGAGGTCGTTGAACCCACCCCCATTAATGACCATGGCGGAGGGAAAATATTCCCACCTGCTGTGCGTTGTCAGCGGTTCCTGCAGGTGCTCAGGAATGTCGAAGTCCTCGGGCCTGGTCACCAAGAAGGCGGTCTGGATAGGCACCGACTCGTCTGATGGTCGGGCGTCTTCTTCTGGCTCCTTGGCTTCATGAGGGTCACGACGAGGAGCGTCGTTTCGCCGGTACTGCGCGAGCCTCCCTCCCTTGATGAGGGTTTCAATGGCGTCCTTGAGGTGGACGCAGTCCTCCTTCAGATGACCATGACTCCTATGGTACTGACAGTATTTATTTTTGTCCGCCCCGGGCTTGGCGGGAGTAGGTCGGGGACGCTTGACGCCGCCGTCCTTGAAGTCTGTACTGGCACACTCCGCCAGAATACGCTCGCGGGAAGCTGTGAACGGAGTGTACTCGGTGAAATGGCCCGAGGGTCCCCTTTGTTCCCGGACTTCCCGGGGTCTGTCTTCTTTCCTTTTCTCCCCGGTTCGTCGAGGAGGAAGTGCTTCCTGGCGCGAGCTATTGTTAGGCCCGCGGGTCCTGGAGTCTCGGGCCCTGTTGGCCGCTTCCCTCTCCTCGTAATCCATGTATGCCCGAGCTTTTTCGAGGAGGGCGTCGAAAGTCCTGGGCGGCTCGATACCCACGGCTTTCCTGAACTCTGTCCCGGGGAAGAGCCCCCTCTCCAGTAGATATCTCTTCATGTGGTCCACGTAGGGGACCTGTATCGCTTCTCGGTTGAAGCGGTTGATGAACTCCCTTAAGGTCTCATCCTATCTTTGGATGATGGCCTCGAGAGCCGCCTCGATCTTCGGATGGCGTCGGGAAGCGGTGAAGGAACTGATGAACTAGTTCTTCAGGTTCCGCCACGAGGTGATTGAGCCCGGAGCGAGTCCTTTGTACCAGTCCATGGCTGCCTTCCTGAGAGTTGTGGGGAAAAGACGGCACTTGATGGGCCCCCCGACATTATGATAATGGAGCATAGCCTCGAACCCGTCAATATGGTCGACCGGGTCCGCGACTCCATCGTATTCCTTCAGATGTGGGGGCTTTTCCATGCCCGGGGGGATGGGTGCATCCATGATGGCCTGCGACAGGGGACCGCGGGGGTCGTCCTCGTCGCTCCTCTCCGGAGACAGAGATGTGGACCTGTAGTATTGTCTGGCACGGTGGTCGTGGTCGTGCTGAGTTTCCCTCGAGCGTGATGCTCGTTGGTTGAATGTTACACGCCCGTCTCCGGCGTGTCTCCTGTCGTTCCTTGCCGGGTCGCGACTGGGTTCTCCGGCAGGGATGGCGGGCTGTCTCTCCAAATAGGGTCGCCTCTGCTTTGGCCGGGGAGATGGGCTTCGAGAGTTTTCCCTGTAGTGTCTCCGCAGGGGAGAAGGGTGTCGAGATTCAGTCACTCGAGGAGGGGGAGTATGTGGTCTCCGATGCCTCCTCGAGGGTCTTCGCTCGTCTTCGAGCGCCTTTAATCTCTCTCCTTGGGCGAAGATGAGATAGTTTGTTTGATTAATTGCTGCGAACATCGCTTGTGTGGTGGCATCCGCCCCGGAGGGGACGGGGACTTCCTGAAACCGGGCGGCTCTATAGTGGGCGAGGGCCGCCGGGTCGTCCTCGAGTGGTGGTGGGAGCGAGGAGGAGGACGCAGTAGCCCCGTCCCTGTATGAGGAAGTTCCGGGGGCGGTTGTTGCAGGAATGGTGTTGTGGCCGGGATTGCCGGTGTTGTCGAGATGTCCGTTTTTGTCTGCCGTGCCGTTATTAGTGTTGGCGACACGGACGTTCTGCTTATCGCGAGCTGGATCAGCCATGACAGGTAGTTGAATTTGAGCTTTGGTCTTTTGAGTTGTTTGTAAGACGGGGAAGCTAGATTCCCACAGACGGCGCCACTGATCTGACCTGATCAGACTTGGACCGTCACGGCTGGCTCCGAGCTGAAAGTTTTGAACGAGGTGGGGGGGGGGGGGGGGGGGTACCTGCAAGACACTCTGATGCTGAAGTAAGTAAGAGCACGAGCAGGCAATAGTAAGTATGGGTAGAATGATGAATACCTGACCCTCTGGAAACAGAGGGTATTTATAGCCCCTAGCACTGGGCCAAGGTTCCTTCATTGGGCCGGGCAGGTTTGGCCCAATGGAGGAACTGCCAGGTTCTACGTGCGTAGTGGAGACCCGTACGTGGTCCCCTCCCTGGATGTTCTGCGTGAAGTGCGGGCGGACAGAGACGCGGTCTTTTCGGGGTCTCGTTGGGAGTGCAGTGGACTGAGTCTGCCCTAGTTGGGGTGCTCGAGATGGAGGTCGAGCTGGACAGTAGGATGTCGAGCTGGACAGTTGGAGGTCGAGCTGGACAATTGGAGGTCGAGCTGGGCAGCAGGAAGTCGAGCAAGTAGTCTCAGGGAGCGCGTCGGACACGACTGTGACCCTTTGGTCAGCGTGGCCCTCAGCAAGTCCGTTTGGATTGGGCCTTATCAATGCTATTGGGCCAGTCGGGCCCAGTCCAGAACATCTCCAAAGCGTAAAATGTGGCTCTTCAGGCCGAGCTGTGACACCTCCTCGTCAGATTATAGTTGATTCCCCGCTTGTTGCTCTTGTCATAACCGTTAAGACTACTATTACTGCTCTTAGGATTGACCAGCTGGAGACTGCCACGACCACCTTGACTATTGAGGAGACATCTCTGTCTCTAATTTCGGTGAAGATGGCCCAGGTTAAAGATCAACATCCCCTATGGAAAGAAGGTTCTCCAAAACAGTCTCGTCTTGTTGGGGACAGTACTTCGAGGAAATGACTCCCTTCCTACATATGTCAAATGTTTTCTATTTCTGACTTACTCAAACTCTTGAGGAGGCTGCTCCTATTGTCCCGACGTCGGGTTTGTCCTTCGTCCAAAATCTCTCTCAGGCGAAAAAGTTGGAAATGCTCTCTGAGACACTTACCATATGTACCAGAAATCTTCCCTGTTTTCTCTTGCCATTGATGGCGGGGGGATGTGTTGGCTCTTGGCAATCCCTCCAAGGAAAATGGACACATGAAAAGGAAAATGTGAAGCCATGGAACAAAAGTTCTCTACTCTCCATAAATAATATGTTGCATTACACGAGAATGTCAAACATGCTAACTCTTTATAAGAGGAGGCAAAGATCCACAACCCTCCTTCTACCTTAGCTGCTTGGGTAACTGAACTAGAGATTTCTCTTAAAACAGTGGAGAAACAGTATCAAAATACCTCCGACATTGTTGCTGAGAAAATCCGTCAGACCGAATTCTCTACTCTCTTAATCAAAGGTTTCTTCTTCTATTTTGATTTGTTTGGTTTTGCTAGTGTAGCTTTTGGTACATCTTGTACCATACATCTATTAATACTTTATCTTAATTGTTTTTACCTTATATCATTAATATTATTTTGCTTTAAAGAAAATATAATTATATAGTTAAAAAATGTATTTAATTAATCTGGTTAAACTACGATTTGATTTCGGTACCTTTAAAATTTAAATTGAAGTGCTATGTTTGAATAAGCTTCTAGCCAAGCAAACGTGAATATGCAACACATTCAAATACACTTGCATCGTAAAAATGAGAAGCAACAAATTAGAGCTTCACGCAAGTTTGACACTTTTCCACCGTGTTTCTAAACATGCACTAAATTGAAGCCTATGCCGAACTAGCTTGCTATAGTTTTGATTATTTAGCTCAATCAACCAACCAGCTTAGACCGGCCAATGTTTTGGTTTTTGATTGAACCAGCCGGTCAAACCGTCCGGTCCGGTTTTTAAACTCTGTTAGCACGTGGCCCTATTTCGAGTTCGTCTTCCACACGCCCCCAAAATCCACCTCATCGTTCTCCCTATACTCATTTTCTCGCGGATTCATTCTTTTCACTGGGCACTCGCTCCGTCGATTCCTCCATTTCCGACCACTCTCACTCTCTCAATTCATCAACCACCATGTCTTATCTCCTCCGATCAACCAAATCTAAGCTCTTATCTTCCTCTTCTTCTCTCTCTAGAGCCTTCTCCTCCATCCCCCGCTCCAACAACCAGATCGGTTCCATCACTCCCGCCGCCACCGAACTCTTCCACCGCAACTCCGCCACTCTCCCCATCGGTACCGATTCTCCAATCTCTCAATCATTTCTGCAATTACTTCCATTATTTTATCATGCTTATTTCCGTTCTGTTTTCTAATCGCCTCTTTTAATTTTATTTTTTGTGTGTTTCTGTTAACTGATACTGAGTTTTCATGTTCTGAATTCGAGTTTCTTTGAATGTGCATGTTATTTTATTTCAGCCGAAGAAAACCCTACCAAGAGATACACGGTTGGTGGTGATTCTAATGTCATCAATTCTTTGGTATGTGTATTTTCATATCACATGCATCTGTTTTTGTGTTCTATAAAGTGATTTTTAATTTTTATCATAATTGCTTATATAATGTTACATCTTATTTATTTTTCCTTTGTAATACAAGTTCAGTAGCTCCGACACCTTTGAAAAAAGTTTTAGTAGTGCCGGTGTCAGCGTTCGAAACTGACACTGATGCATGTGATTACGTCTAACCTATTCCTTTTTTAAAATTACTATCTCAAATTATTATCGGTATTGACGTGTCAGTGTCAGTGTTGGTGTCGTGTTTCCGGTGTCTGTGCTTCATAGTAGTTCTATGACTTTGCGGCTGCTGCTATAGGCAATAGCATAGGGGAATTTTAACAGTCTGCAACAAGGTGTTCTTGCTGTTGCTACATTACAATTAAATGATGAGATGTTTTGTTTTGAAGATGAGTGATTTTTTTATGAATGTAGAAAAGCAGTGTGTTTATTAATGTTGTTGTCTGTCTATAATTATGGAACGAAACTTTTAATGAATAGTTTTGCATAGGTATATTTTTTATATTCCTCCAAGTTCTTGTAAAATATGGATTGTTATATGAGAGATACAAGTCCATTGCCACCTTTAATGCTCTAGTCTATCTGTGTAGAACTGCCTGTGGTTCCTTAGTTTCTTCTGTGTCTAGTACTTCTTGATAATTGAAAGCTGAGCTATGGTTGTTATCATCAAATTCATTCATGTCTAGTATGTTTTCTTTACTATCATTATTCATGTTTTCCATGAAATTTGACAAATATGTGTTGAATACGGCCAATTGAGCCTTTTGGTGCTTTAAGACTGCCTTGTCCATCTATGGAAAGATTTCTCTGTGCTTTCTTTGTCACTTCTGCAAAAACTTCCCTTGAGACTCTATTCTTGTTAGTAACTTCTTTTGTACCAATTGGCTAGGAATTAGTTCTGTACAAGTTAATTAAGATTCTTTAGAATTGAATGATTAACTTGGTTAGAAATTCACTAGTTAGATACAAGGATGCAAGTAAAATATGACAGAGTACCTCTAGCTGCTTTTCCAATCTCTTTTGAACCTCAATTTTTTGCCTTAGTGCTTCTGCTATCGGGATTTCTCTTATATCATTGTGTAAAGTAGTTAGAAATTGTGTAAAGTAGAAAAGGAGAAACTAAACTTAATAGAAATTGTGAAATTTAGCTCTAGTGTAGTTTTTCACTTAAAAGTTAGTATTAGTACACTGGGATTTTGAAATTTGATACCATTCATTCATATTGTTTGAATGTGCTATACTACATGGTCTGCATATTTATTATTCTTTTCCATTTTAAAATATGATGGGATTTGCTTTCTTTCTATTTACTTACTTTCTTGATTGTCAGTTCCTAAAATTTGACTATTTTTTCTTCTGTGCATGTCTCAACTATCTAGTCTCTCTTAGATTATAGAGAGTTGTGTCTTGTTATTGCAAGCATTACAAAGCCTGATATTATGATAGGGTCAGACGAAGTTGGGAACTGTTTATATATACAAGTCATATATGCTCACACAGAATATATATACAAGTCATATATGCTCACACAGAATATATATACAAGTCATATATGCTCACACAGAATATATATAATATAAAAGATGTTATAATATGTAGATATACCTATTAAGAATATTCTGTTTTTTGGGAAGGCTGTGGCCTTCCTATGTCCATATAAAGATCCCTCACTGCCTAGTACCAACTTGCACAGAATATAGTTTATTTTCCTTCTTCGTTCTAGAATGCAAAATAGTGAATCAATGCATTGTTCCAGATAATGTGAAGCATATCATTAGTTTTTCTTAGTTCTGTTAAATTTCTAATTGCCACAGAATTGTTCTCTTATGTCAGAGATACCAGGCTCTTGGACTGGACCCTAATGTACTGGCTGGAGCTAGATATGGCGCTAAAGCTTGTACTGCCAAGAGTCCAATGCTATTGGTGAGTTACTTTATCATCTGTGAATCGAGTCTAATCTATCTGGCTTTCCTGGTGCGGTTGATGACATTTACATTTCAATAGGGAGTCAATGCTATGATGGCAAGAAACTTTGAGAGAAGTGTGGCTGCTGACACGTTGGGACTTGCTGGCCAGAGACGTTTTATGAGTGACATCCCAAGTACAACCAGTGAAATTAAGCCGCCTTCCGGTTTTCGCCCGTTATCTCCTCATCTTCCTGTTTATCAGCCCCAGCTTTCTTCAACGCTTTCAATTTGCAATAGAATTGCCGGAGCTTTCCTAGCAGCTGTCACCTTGCTTTTTTATATGATATACATGAAATTGGGTTTGGTCACTCTCACCTATGATTCATTCTACCAGTTTGTATTCTATTCATCAAAACTTCACCTACTCGCAGTTGAGATTTCTGCCTTAGCCATGTCCTATCATCTGTATAGTGCAATTCGTCACTTATTCATATGATATCAGCCACAACTGATCTATGAGCAGTATGTTTGATCCTGAGGTAATTTTATCTCTTTCTTGATTCATACTTTATTTTATTTTGGTCGCAAAACATTTATTCAGCTTTTTGGAAATTATGCTTCAGTACCTTGTTTTTGACATAGATTAATATCATATTTTCAGGTGGAACTTGCTTGCACATGTCATAAGACTTCATTTGTCAAGCGTTGTGAATCTGCTTGATGTAGTTTTGCTATTACCAAAATAATAATGATAACTTAGAATTTCATGTTTAATGATGACTATACACCTGTTTTGCATCTGAGATTTCAGTGATGTATATTTTTGCACCCCTCAAGTTGCAAGCAATTGTCACATTCAATAAAGCATTCGAGTTTAATGACTTCATGTAATACATTATCTCATATTTGTCTGATGTTTAAAATCTATTTTATTCAAGGCATTGTTTACAGTTCTATATCCTTTTTATGTACATGGAAGAAATAGCACCATATTCTAGAGAGAAGCTCTCCCCTTCTTCCCTATGAAACTCCTATTAGAGTTTTCTCCTCCATTTTTTGGATTCCCTTTTCCTCCCTAGTGGAGGCTTCGCTCCCTATTCTTTGGGGTTTGCTCTTGAAAACTTCCTTCCATCTCTTCATTACTCCATGCTTCCATCTCTCCATTACTCCATGCTTCCATAGCCCCATTAACTGCAGAACACCCATCAGTCTCTGACCCACGTCTATCATAGCTCTTCCCCCGGAAGAGAAATAGCCACCAGAACCACCACCCCTGCCTCCCTCCTTCACAGTGGCTCCAGCACACACAGATCCGAGACCATTCCTGCCACCAACAAAGCCACTGAGGCATCTTCTAGGTTTGGTGTTAGTTTTAGCTATTAGGTTAGATCGTTATGTGTATGTGTTGTTATTTTGTCTTGTGCACTGTTCTGCATTTTGAGCTTAAAATAGTTTTTTTTTTTTTAGCCACATGTTTGTTAAAAAGACTCAATAGTGCAGGGTAGTTTGGAATGATATTGTATCAATAATTCATCGAGGTTATCGCCGGTAATCTCTCCTCTTTACACAACACATGGATTTCATATTTGTGCTGTATTTAGTAAAAAAATATCTGAAACTGATTAGAATCAAAGACCGGGAATCTTCTTTTCTCTGCCAATGACCACTTGCGAATAGACATGGCAACAAAGTCTGCCTCCGTCCACCTGCACTGAATCTAACGGGAAAAATTGATTTAATTAGAGGTAGGTGCAGGTGCGGGGCTAGTAATGTTTAAACCCGTTCTGTACTGTTGCCATGATGCCTACTTGGGGATGATATCAAGTTGGGTTCTAGGTTTTATTAGATTTTTGTTTGGTAAATTTCTTGAAAATTTCTCTTTACATCTAGTAGTGGCGATTTTCACCACTGAAAATCCGAAATATCTTTCGTAAGTGCACATGCGAAGTCACCTCTCAGTTAGTTTCGCATGTACACATGTGAAGAAATTATTTTTTTAGTATGTTTAGAGATTGTTTCGCATGTGCACATGTGAAATCTGTTGAGAAAAAAGTTTTGGATGTGCATATGTGAAACTTTATCTGTTTGTGTTATTTTTGTTTAAAACTACATCATTCCACTATTTTATAATTGGACAAATTTTTAATGATTTTTTCGAAAATATAAAACGAGCATAATAATACGGACATAACGATTAAATTAGATGTTTAGACATAATTTTGTACATAAATTGTTTGGAAAGAAAGTAACGTCAAAATATCACACCAACAAAAAACAAAACATAACATAGGTTAGTGCGTATGTCTGATCCTGACCCCATGTGACCTCCTCTGCCGACTGTACTGAGCCACACTAGATGCCTCATTGACCATCCTCCCAACTATGGCAACCGCCTTAGGACCACCCCTCTCGATGATATCAGATTTCAATGTCTCCTGATCAAGTAGGTGTATCCGCTGAGAGACCGACAAGAGATCAGTGACATAGTCATCTTCAGTCTGCTGGTTCTCCAAGAGCTCTTCATGAGCTGGCTTAGGCGGACGTCCAAGACCATCCGGTGTCATGATAAGGTGTGACACGTTAAAGAACCATGTCACGTAACTCTCTACACAATGTCAACTCTCAGATGTCGGCATCATACGATACTCCTGTGTCATCAAATGATTCTCTCAATCTTGGAAGATGACATCGAGATTCCGCCAGACAATGGTGTCGGGAGCATCCTGAAAAGGAGATCTCAGTATCATTTGTACATAATCAAACTGTCGGATACACCTCTCTGGAAGATACCTGACCATAAGATTCGACCCACATGCTAGCCACCCAGAGTATAATGAGATGGAATCGAATGAGACAACATCCATGTAATCCGCAAATGACATCCATTTGATGTCATCATGATTAGTACGATCAAGATACACCTGATAAGGCGGAACTTTATGATTTCGTCTGTGGAGGTCAAACTTTGCAGCCCTTGGTATGTCGTCAGTATAAACGGGATCTAGTTCGAAACCATGAATCTGGTGGAAGTGAAAGATGATCCAGCTCTGCGAAAACAATAATATAATATGTAAGTACAAATTAATCAAAACAAATTAAAGTTAATAGTTGAAATGAAAGGTACCGCGAGGAGTGTGCATGAGTCATCGAACTGTCTCATCCTCCAATTTGAAGCTTCATTCAGTTTCTGATAGAGGTATACCAAAAAAGCGGCTTTCCAATTTCACTCACGAACTGTAATCAGGTTCATAAAATATCGAAGTATGTCACATCCGTATAGGTCTCACTTTTGTCCACAAAGAGGGACATGTCAATCAAGAACATATAATAACACCGCAAAGCACAGCCTCGGTGATACTGAACAAAAACCTTGTCCTCCTCATCCTGGACACCTGCTGCTGCAATCAGGTGCTCCTCATATAGATCCTTCAGGTGAGAGAACTTTACATGCACCCCATTAGTGGCTCTGCAGTCCTTAGCTGCCCTGAACGGATCAACTCTCAGATACTCAACCATCCATTCAACCGCCTTATCAAGTATCAGTTCATGCGCACGAGCCGAGACAGTCTGGTTTGACCTGTCTTGTCTTAACCGCCTGCTCTGGTCCTAGTTGTCAGCCATGTTCCTGAAAAAAAATAGTTATAGTTGTTAGGTTTTAAAAATAAAACAACTCAGACAAGAATTCACATGTGCACATGCGAAACTGGTCCAGGGTGACTTCACAAGTGCACATGCAAAATCCTCTGCGCACAACTATTTTCAAAGCTGTTGCTTCTTGTCCTAAAACACTCAAATATTATTTTTTTATCACCCAAACAACTACATTTAACTATTCTAACACCAACATACACAATGTAATTTTTATAAACTAATCTAATAAACTATTACAAGATTGCATTGTGAATCAAATTAATTTGGAGAAAACTTACACAAATTTGAAAGTTTGGAGATGACTTAAAAAGAGTTGAAATGGAGAGATGAGCAAAAATGAGTGAGTTTGGGTAGTAGAAATGTTAGAGTTTGGAGAAGAAAATAAGAAGTTTTGGTGTTTGAATAAAAAAGGATTTGAGGGATCTGTTCTATTCGTTTAGTTCAATACAATTCACAAACTTCACATGTGCACATGCGAAAAGAGGAATGATACGTAACTTCGCAAATGCACATGCGAAGTCACCATATTTTTAACAAATTATGGATTAATTCGTAGATACACATGCGAAATCACCTATTATTATACAATACAATACATTCACAGATATACATACGAAGTCTGAAGATATTTTGATTTTTCACCAAAAGTCTAGAGAATAGGTGGCAAAAGAAATTCCCAACTTTTAAATTCAAAACTTTCAAAGTATCATATTGTTTATGGTAATGAGTATTAATCTATTTGATTAATTCCTTGGGTGTACTGTTTTGTTTGACCAGAACATGTTTATGCTAATGTTATTAATGTATTTGATTAATTTAATAAAAATAAACATTCAAAGAGCATGAAATTGTAGAATCAAGGTCTCATTCCAAACAATCCGCAATATTCTACCCACTTTAATTAGTTCTTTTCTCCAGCCAAATTAAAACCCTCCTACTGATAAGGAATTCAAGTCAAACTCAGACATCATCTAACATAAAAATTAATACACTGGTTTACCAAAATAAAACAAAAAAAATTCATTATTATCATTTATACAAAGTTATCATTAACAAAATATATCAGATCTAATTGTCCGCAAACCTTAACTCAATTTATAAATATTGATATTTATAATTTGAACGCCATCACTAGAATTCAAACTCTAATACATACGACAGTTGTGTGTGAGTTTATAATAATTATTAGCATTTTGTTTACGAAGAAAATATCACTAGTAAATTAATCGATCTTCTGGAATGCTTTCTAAAGCAGGCTTCCAAGAATCTACACCCAAATCATGTTTACAAATTTTCCCTCCTCTTAACCTCATGACACCAAGTAATTGCTCCAATGTAGTGTTCTCATATTCATCTTTGCAACTCAACATCTTTTTCAACTCTTCTTGAGTCATCACCACTCTAATCCTCCTCACACTTCTAGAATTATTACCATCACTTCTTCTATCAACTTCTTCATCATTCTGTATCTCAAACCTTACTTTCTTATTCTTCTTCATGCATTCTTCTTCCCTCGACCGCGGCTCGAACTTCGATGACGAAGATGTTTTCATCTTCTCAACTTTTGCTTGATCGTTGTAGCTTTCATGATCATCTTGTGCTAGTATTTTGTTGTTTGTGATGCAGTTTCCCATTGGAGCAATGAAGCATACAACTCAACAAGAGATTAATATTTATAAATATAAATGTAAAGTGGAGAAAGGGAAAGCACATGGAGTAACCGGTTGATGCGCCGGCTGATTGAGATTAAATAAGCGGGAATTCTCCTGCTTCATCAAACCAACAGCATTAATATATGTTTTTTTCTCAAATTAATTTCATATTCATACATACTTTCATTTATATAAAAACAATATTTTATATTTCTAATTATTTATTATGCATTCTCTATTATTATTATATATTGGTTAAATATTATTTATTTATAATATAATTTTTATTACAAATATACTCGTAACTAAATTTTAAACAATAATTGGTAATAGACCATCTTTATTAGGATCCAAAATTAAATATTAATTTTAAAAGTAATAAAATATGTTGTGTGATTATTAACGCTATTTTTATTGAGAATATATTCTAACACGTTATTTATAAGTATCTTATTCAAGTGTAATTATGTTTTATTTTATTATTATTTTTAAAAAGATTATTGATTTCACGGGAAGAAACTTTGAAGATGTCAGCTTTGGCCTTCAAGCACTCAATAAATCTTTTCTGTATCCCGATTAGTAAATCAATACCTAATCAAATTGATTGTTCGAACTTTCTGTTTGGAGTCAGCTTCAAGGTCTTCATCTTGCCTCCAACCAATATGCCTAACTTGTCGTCCTACAAGGCTTATTCCTCTTGCACATCAAGATTGACTACGCTGGTTACTTTGTCGACCTTTTCTCTCATTTTTCCAAGGGCGATGAAAAATTCTAGGGAGTTCTTTAACGTTGCCTCATAGATAAGAAGAGCTCCACACATGTCAGCTTTAACGAGGATAGACTGACCTGCATCATTATGGAACTTCATCATCAAATGAACTAGAAAGGCTACAACATCCAACATTGTTAGAAATGATCTCTCAAGAATATCGTTGTAGATGCTTTCACACAGAACCACGAAGAAAACTATGTCTACAATCCTTTTGTCCTCCCCTCTGCAGAAAGAAACATGTAGATCTATCATTTCACATGGTTGAGTTGAGGAGTCACTAAATGCTAATATGCTTTTGTCTTCACATGACTTCAGATGTTATGTACATAACCCTAATTGCTTGAAGATTCTGAGATATACGAGATCATAAGAGCTTTCGTCATTAATAAGGACCCCCCCACCAAATGATTGGCTATTGTGGTGGTTACGATCAACTGAAGTGTCACGTTAAGAGTTTTGTCCATATTTTTGTGGTCTAAAAACCCTAACATCGGTCTATCTTTCAGTCGCTTCTCGATCAACATATTGCTCTGTGACAGGGGATCTTTACCGCCAAGTAGCCTCTGGCCGATCGAATCGAGGACGAGGATCGAAAATGATTTGGTGTTAGAAATAAAAAAGGTACTTTGGGAATCAAGATTGAGGGATGCTTTCTTCATCTTAGTGTGATTGTTACAACAATCGTGACTTGAATTAGATGGACCTGATTGTAGATATTTGTGGGGATCATGAGTCGATTTTCATAGAAGGCGCCACTATTTTGGATCAGAACTAAAGGTGATCAGTGAGATGGTGATGTAGCGCTTTGTTATAGTGTATTTGAGCTTCTGGTCTGATAGAGAGGGGATTGACCTGTATGATAACACTCTAACATCTAAGTCAGCGAGAGAATAATAAATAATGTATGAGTCAGAGTTGAATGTGTACTTTTTCTTTTACATATGATTCTTTATGTATGAAAATTGGCTAAAATATATCATATCTTGATCAAATGTGGGTTTTCTCTTATAGACCATTTGACCAGCCTAAAAGCAAATTTAAGAGATGAAATAAAAAATCATAGAGGTTTGCAACAAAATAAGTGATCTCAGTCAGAAAATTTGAAAATAACTAACTTATATTTGGAATTTGTTCATTGATCTAAAGTATAAACAAAAATAGACAATTCCTCGAGTGTACTACTTTGTTTGACCAAAACATCAATTATGTTATGTTAATGATTATTAATGTATTTGTTTAATAAAAATAAACATTAAAAGAGCATGAAATTTTACAAGGCCTCATCCAAACAATCTGCATAATATTCATCCCACTTTAATCAGTTCTTTTCACCGGCCAAATTAAAACCCTCTTATTGATATGAAATTCAAGTCAAACTCCTAAATCATCTAAACTGAAAAATTAATGCATTGATTTACCAAAATAAAAAAATTCTTTATTATCATTTACGAAACATATCATATCTACGTATTCATAAATCCTAACTCAATTTATAAAAGTCGATATTTATAAGTTGGAGTTATTACTAGATATGAGATATTGGATCGAACTCTATTAGGTTGAATAGTAGTTTCTGGTTCGATATGATTTATGCATGTCGTTGAAGTATGTTTACATGTTGGTGTCGAAGACCTACATACTGTAGTCGAAATATGTTCTAGTATGTGAGTGTCAAAATATTAGGGTTGTTAGTATTCTGAATTGGGCCTGTTTGTTATGTCCAATTATTTAAGTTAACTTGTACCCTAAGTTAGCTTGTAATGAGTATTTGTGAAAAATCCCATTAATTTAGTATGTTAGGTTTATTATAAATAGCATACTAGTCTCTCATCATTGCATACTGCAAATCCTAATTTAGGGTGAGAGGGTTATTTGTAATCTTGTGTACTTGTAATCTTGTTTAAAGAGAAAGTAAGGAATATCAGTTAATAACCAATTCCTCATGTTCTTCTTGTTTTTCCATCTTTTCTACCCTTGTGTGTTTCTTGATCATAGAGAAATCGTTTATACTTTGTTTCTAAGACATCATTTTCATAACAAATTGGTGCAGTGAGTGTGGAGAAGATGCCTTCAACAAAGTATGAGATTGAAAAATTCACTGGAGTGAACGATTTCGGTCTGTGGCACTTGAAGATGAAAGCTCTACTGGTTCAGCAGGATTGTTTGGAAGCGTTGAAGAGAGCGGTGACTATGGATACTGCATTAACGGAAAAAGAAAAGAGGAACATGATAGAGAAAACCCATAGCGCAATCCCATTGAGCCTTTATGATAAAGTTTTTCGACAGGTATCAAAGGAGACGAAGACATCAGGGTTATGAGTGAAACTTGAAAGTTTGTACATGACTAAATCGCTGATAAATTGACTCTACCTGAAGCAAGATTTGTATTCATCAAGATGATTGAAGACAAAGTGTTAGCTGAGCAGTTGGATATGTTCAACAAGATGATTCTTGATTTTGAAAATATTAATGTGAAGATCGATAATGAAGATCAAGCGTTGTTACTATTGTGTGCTTTTCCCATAACACATGCTCACTTTAAATAAACTCTCTTGTATGGAAGGGAGTCCCAAAACTTTGAAGAAGTTCAATCATCCTTGTATTCTAAAGAGTTGAACGAACTAAGGGGGCATAAACCTTCAATGGTTGGTGAAGGTTTATCCGTAAGAGAAAATTCTTGCGAAAGGATGGTAAGTTCGACAAGAAGAAATGTAAAAGTCAGCAGAAGTCTTACAGTGGTGAATCATATGGTATTTAATGTTACCATTGTAAGAAGGAGGGTCACACAAGAAAGGTGTGCCCTGAACGCCTGAAATATTATAGAGGTAAGGATAATGGTAACACAGTCATTGTTCAAGATGATTTCTGTAACACCCTATTTTCCCCATCGACAATTTAATAAAATCAAAGTAAATTAAAATTTTAAATCAACATCAAATAGGATGTCACATTCATTCAACATCATACAAATTTCTCAAACATTTAACAATGGATACATAACACACTTTATTCAGATGAACCGACAACATCTTCAGAATATGGTTCTCAACTTCTATTTTACTAACGTAGCGGAAATAAAACTCATAAATTATTTTCAACATCTTCAACTCATCATAAATCAACAAATTAATCAAATAAAATAGAGTTTATAATGCTCTCACAATTTTTTTAAAACAAATAAAAACTGAATAAGCAAACAAGCGTTCTTCCCCGGTGTTACGTATAAGAGCAAGACCCGACTCAATCTACGCAATATGAGGCACAACTCCATACCTCAAGCAACTCTAATCCTTGTCACGTGTGCGTTACCCATGTGGAGGTAACATTCAAACATAAGGGGTGAGATATCATAACAATATAAATAAAAATATGATTATGAATAGATAAAGTATAGCATACATAATCATAATATTCATACTTCATACATCAACACCAATACATGTCACAGTTTTAACAAACACACTCAACAGTCATATAAATCACATCTTATTCACCAACAATATCATGAATGCAATGAGACCAACTTCACCGACTATATGCATGTGGTACCATAATAATATCTCTTTTCCATTTAGGCCACACCGTCACTTTCCACTAAGGCTACACCGTCACTTGCCATTGAGGCTACATCGTCGCTTATGAACATGCATGTAACACTAATATGTTACAACAACTTATGCAATAACACGACACACATCAACATGACAAACCAACATGGGCCACCAATTACCTATAGCAGTTCATACACTGTCACATCATGAAATCTCATTGATTCCATCATTATATTCACAACTTCACATTACATCAAAATACCAGAATAATACGAGAATCCAGAAAATCATCTCATACTGTTTTAAAATTATTTTTATTAGATAAAAAATATTTTTAACTTCCTGTGGACTTGAACGGCGCGTCAAACGGACACCCGAGTCAAAAGTTATGAAGTTTTCAAATTTACAAAAATGTTGTCCAACACACTGGTAACCGGTTACTGCCATACCAGTAATCAGTTACTGCATGAAACAATAGCGAATTACTCACAAACCTTCAGCGGTATCCGGTTACTAAATACCAGTAACCGATTACTGCATACAAAGCAGTCCCAATATTTTCCAAAATCGCAACAGGTAGCCGGTTACTCAATCCCAGTAACCGGTTACCACTGAATTGAAACCCAAAAATTAGTATATTTTTCTGCTACGGGATCTCACTCTTTCACCCAAAAATCACTTTTGAAAACACATTAAAACACACAAATTTCTACAATTTTCAATCAACATCATGCACAACAATTCAAAATAATTTACCACATCAATTTCATCAATGTTCATCAACAAATCTCACCAGAAATACACACAATTCACCTAAGAACTCATCAATGGGGAAAACCCTAACAAACTCAAATAGGGACAACCAAGAACATACAACTATATAACCTAACTCTACCATATTACATCATCATATAATCCCTTATAGAGTTAGAATCCCACCCTCATCTTGGATGATGGTTCTCTATGCAATCTTCTTGCCCTAGCTTGGTGTTCTTCTCTTTTTCCTCGTTCTCTCTTTTCTCTGATTTTCACGATCGAATAACAATTAGGACTCTCCTTCCTTGTTTTTCCCAATAATAACCTTTAGACCCCTAAAATATAATATCCATCTTACCCTTCCTTATTTTAAATAATTAATTAATAAACAAATTATAAAATTACTAACTATATTATTATTACCATTAAAAAAAAATAATTAAGATAATAATAATAATAATAACGATAATAATAATAATAATAATAATAATAATAATAATAATAATAATAATAATAATAATAATAATAATTCTAATTACGTTGTAATATAAACACCCACTTTTAATCCTTACATGTCATCACAACTACCCTATACCAAGGTCTTCTACCCCACAAATCACATTATCGCACACTCAGCACACTACATCACCTATTTTTAAATTATAAAAATAAATATGATAAAAATGGGGCGTTACAACTCTCCTCCTCTTAAAAGATTTTCGTCCTCGAAAATTACCTGATTGGAATAACTCTGGGTAAGCTTCTCGCATCTTGATTTCTAATTCCCACATCGCATTCTCTCCAGCGGCTCCTCCCCAAACCACTTTCACAAGAGCAATCTCCTTTCCCCTCAGCTTCTTCATTTCACGATTCTCGAACCTCACCGATACGGTCTTAACAATAAGATTATCCCACACTCATACATCATCTATCATAATCACATGTGAAGGATCTGAAATATACTTCCGAAGTTGCGACACATAAAACACATCATGTAGATTCGACAAATTAGGTGGTAATGTGACTCTATAAGAAATATTCCCCACCTTCTTTGAAATTTGATACGGTCCAATAAACTGAGGAGTCAACTTCCTCGACTTCAAAGCACGACCTACACCGGTTACCAGCGATACTATCAAGAATACATAATCTCCCTCTTGGAACCCAAGATCCTTCCTCCTCTTATCATAGTAACTATTTTTTATACTCTGTAAATCTATCATCTTCTCTTGGATTATCTTCACTTTCTTCATAGTCTCTCGTACAATTTTGGGTCCCAGCACTACACTTTCACCAGACTCATAACCATAAAAATATGTTATGCACCTTTGACCATACAATGCCTTAAAAGG